GTCTCTCTATCAGATTGCTCAGAGGCCCAAGACTCGCCGCTTGCTGACAAGGTATCAGCCAGGATTTTAGGTTGGGCCCGAAACTTCAAGTTGTCTTTGTTTGGACGAGCATTGGTGTTGACCTTTGCAGCGTTCTCCCTGTTGTGCTTCCTCTTGTCAGTCCATCTATTGGGAGATACAGCCTATACACATACCAAGAGAGAAGTTGCATGTTTCTTGAGGAAACATGGGGCATCGGACCAGCAAGGGTTCATCTGGAAAGTTGCCTGGGATACTGTGGTGTTATCAAGACCCCAAGGATGATTGGGGATTATGGACCCAGTCCAACAGAAACTCGCTTTGTTGTGCAAATGGGTGATCGTTGCAACATTCGGCGCCAAATCTCAAATCTGGATCCGATTAGCAGAATACATCCTTTCAAAAGAATGGAAGATCTTTCGGCCCTCGGATGTTTGAATATGTTTTTCCGTACGCTCCTTTGCAATCCAGAGACCAAATTCCAGAATTTGACGCAATGTACTGCATGCGTGGCAGAAACTTTTCTCACAATCATGCACCCCCCCTGCCACTCGATCTGAAGTTGTGAACCAAATTCTCTTTGAAAACAGATTTATCATAAACATAGAAGGCAACACTCTGAAGGCAGATGGCTCAAGAGGTTTGTTTGGTAGGGCTTGGATAGAAAAAGGGGTCACACAGATCAAGGATATGTGGGACACTCACGACGAGAACTGGTTATCGGAGGAGCAGCTCTGTACCAAATGGCCCCGGCTTCACAATGTTGAAAGTAACTACCAATCTCTTGAACTGTATTCCTTCCCATTGGAAGGCCTTGCTATCCTCTACGGTGGAACACCCTCAAGCTGCCTGGTTGTTAGATCCGGATGATAACAGGGTAGTTCTCAGAGTCTTGGAGACTTGGGCTCATAACTCACCCAAGGAATGCGGGTGGAAACATGGGCTCGCAAATCCCACATGGGATCTGGAGACCTGTTAGCCCTTACAGGGGAAAGGACTATCCCAACAACTAGAGATCTGATAGAATGTAGAGTTTGGATCAGGACGATTGGAAGAAGAAAGAGGCCAAGCTGATTGCAGAAGATACCTCAAATATCCAAGTAGAGCCTCTTCTCTGCGGTTGGTCTGGTGTGCTGGGATCTCAAGGGTCTATCCCAGTCTTGGTTTATAATTATACTAGATTGGGGGTTCAGGTACTGAGAGCGTCAGTTAAAAAGTTACCGCTGACTGGTCGTTGCAGTGTCTAAGAGGTTGTCCAAGGAACCAAGTTTTAATTTGGGAAACTTGGACCTGTTTGGATTGTGGAAAGCTTTGAGGATAGAAGAAAAATGTGCCTGTTGTAATTGGGGCTGGGAGAACGGCGCACACATTTGGCTGTACTGCCCCTATTCGGTACAAATATGGGAATGGCGGAAAGATAGGTGGAAGTTTTTCGCTGGAGAAGGATTTATCTGGTCTCACAAATGATCCCTCTATGGCTTGACCCGAGAGGGTACAAATCTTTCCAAAGGTTGGCCATATGTGGCTCTGACCTGCCTTGGAGTAATTATGGAGGTGCTATATGTGGCTCTGACCTGCCTTGGAGTAATTATGGAGGTGCTATGGAAAACCCGTAATAAAGCTCTGTTCAAACAAGAAGCAACTCCCTCTAACGCCCAAGTATCGGCTATCAAAGCTTCGATCAGACAATCAATTAGTGTGGACTGGAACAACGCTCAACTCCATCCAGGGAAAGGCCGCTATTGGTTCTTTCAGACATGGCTCCATAATAATAAACTCATTTTTTCTCCCCCCGGGGTTCCCTATCCTTTGCAGAATGGTTACGCTCAGATAACTCTTAAACCACCAATACCCCACCCAACTTGAAAAAGCCGACGCGGTTGTTAACGCGCCTCGTCGGGCGGGGTACCCACAGACGAACGGCTGGTATTCCCCAAAAAACGGGCCAAAAAAAAAAACACGATGAAAATGAGAAGTAACAAACGAAAAAAAAATGGGTGAGGCAAGGGGGAAGGGAGGGAAGAANAGAGAGAGAGAGAGAGAGAGAGAGAGAGAGAGAGAGAGAGAGAGAGAGAGAGAGAGAGAGAGGGCGTCAGGGAGTTTCTGACGCCGAGTTTGGTGGACCAAACCCGGCATCAGAAACTCCCTTCTTCTTTTTTTTAAAGAATTTTGCCCGTGTCCTCAGAAAGGAGTGATGATAAAAGCATACACTCCTTCCTAACTAACGGGAGGCTCCAATCTATTGGTGGAGCAATACCTGCTAGAAAGCGGGTGCGTCCCCTTGGATACAATGGTATAGAAAGTCCAAGTAGACCAAAAAAACTGCACTTCAAACATAGCTTCCCTCAAGGCTAATACTATTGAACTAGCTTTGTGCCTCTTCACCCAATCTGAGCGTCATAAAGACTTGAATACCAAACACTTAACCAGTTGTAGCCATAGTACCATCAGCGGAGGAAACCACACTCTTGTACTTTCAAAGGATCTATCCATACTACGAAGCGGGCACAAGACAGTTACTTGGAGGGGGGAGGGAATCAGGGAATTCAGAAAGAGGTCTTAGAGGAATAGCAGGATCAACAATACTCCATCATTGAAAACCAGCCGGTAATTCCTTTGAAGAGGCTCCTGAGCATTCCGGTGTCCTCCTTCCCATATTACATTCCCCAACCTCCCTCCCTGGTCCCCCCCCAACCAACTTCTGTTGACTTGATTAATGTGGTGCCAAATCTCATTTTGTAAGGATAAATGTTGGATTTTTTCCTTTAAGTGTTCCCATTTAATGGATAATTCTGTTTGAATCCGCTGTTTGATAGTATTAGTAAAGTCTGGTACATCGAGACGTGCACTTTCCATTTCATAGGTGCACCTTCTTGACCACATTGCCCAAATGATCGCCCTCCTTCCAATTAAGAGTAGGTTAGCTGCGAATTCATCTGCTTGGTCGGGATGACAGGTTTCCAAAACGAGAGTTTTCCATTCCCACGGCCAGGGTTGAGTGGTGCCCAGCCGATTCCAGATCCTATCCCACCATCTCCAGAGTCGGACCGACCCCGGGCATTGAAGGAAAATATGCTTTATTGTTTCAGGGATGAGCTTGGAGGGAAAAGTCGATCTACAGAACTTGCACCATGGGTGAGCTATGCCTTTCTGTTCTAACGAAGTTCTATCAATAATCCAGTCATTTGTAGGGAGGCATTTGTGAACAATTTGCCATTGTAAGTATCTTGGCTGGTTTGGTTCTAGAGGTTTGGAACCACTTAATCCCTCTCAATTCGTCCTTAGTTATGTTGAGATTCTTATGCCATCTTCTTCAATACAGTCTTTTAAATTAATTCTGTGGCGGAGAATTCTAGAAGAGGCTTTGATTTGAGAGGGTGTGTAAGGTCCTAGGGTGTGAATGCCCCTGTTTCCCTGGGGAGGACCAAATCCAGTTCTATGGATCAAACGGGAGGTGAGAGATTGACGTTTCTGGCCTATAAGGAAAACCACCTCTCTTTAACTTTCAACACTCTAATCCGAATGAGTTGCTCATATGTGCACCATCTTATATCATCTTGTTGTCTAGGATTAAGAATTCCATCATCTTGAACATCAAAGATTGATATGAGAATTTGCTCCGGACTATGAATCTCAATAATGTTCCCAACTATCCCTTTTTTATTCCGGATTGCCACCCGGTCACTTTCAAGAAGCTTGGGGCCCTTCCGCAAGATTCTGATCCAATCCAGGGGGATTAAATCA